CAGTACTACAAATGGTTTCATCGCTAACGATAACTTTGCTGATTATGCCCATGGACTTGGAACGCCCCTGGAGTGAGACCGAGAATTGGAGCGGATTGACACGTTGAATAAAGATTGTTTGCGTGGAGGGAAGCTTAGTGATGTATGGATACTACGTGTGTGTTTCTCTGGAATTATATCTTTACTGATATTATGGGAAGTGGGTAACGACCAAATTCTACTTATAGCAGTTTATTGAGAGTGTTTGATTGAGAGCCACGAAGTGTTGCTTTTAGATTATGTTGAGCGAATAACAAGTGACAGTTGAATAGCATAGGAATAGGCGCTTTTGCCGTTGTGGACATACACGTTTATGTACCCGTTCACTGAGGTTACCATGGGTGCAAAACTATAGTAATCATTATTGTGCGTATCTGCGTGGGAAATTTATTATGGGCGCTACTAAATGTTGCACGCTGATACTGTAGAATGAACGTTGAAACATTCGATCATCGGTTGGGCCGTGTTATGAACCAAACCGAGAGTGCATCGTGATAACAAAATGCCGATTAATCTACCCTTTTAATGCGAATGTACTACTAACTATTATGTACTAAATACCTTTAGTGCATCACATGATAAATCGTTGAAATCCATTGGATAACGTCGCAGGTACTATGAAACATAGTGCCGCCTGAGCGGGCACCTATTGGTTTGCGCGACGCAGTGCGGGTGCGCTTGCGATACTCGGACAATACTTTTATCCAATGTTTATTCCAGTTGCAAGTGTTACGTTTGTTGTTTTAATACAAATTGAAATTGTTCGTTTAAGAAACTGTCTTATTCACTTCATATTTGCCGAGTAGATTTGCAAAGTCATGGGATGCCACTAAAAACGATGGGGAATGCCTGTTGTTGGGGGCACTATGAGAGCATAGTGCCCCCAACAACAGGCATTAATATATAAATAGCAAGGAAACATTTGAGGGGTGGTGTATACATAAGCAGTGAAACATTATCATAATAATATTGTGTCTTGCAGCTTACGATGACGACTACTATTAATTGGAACAACTATATGACTATCAATCAACTGACGTCGGCTGTTCCCTCCGTAAGCTCACTTACATACGTACAAGACATTCAATCCGATGCCCTTTCCCACGTGAACATATTAATAAATTTTCATAAATTATATAATAATTACTATAATTACATTATATATATAAATAAATAAATTAATGAATAAATAAAAAAATATACAATAAAATATGATAAATATTGCTAGCAGTTACGGATAAATTCTACATTTTAAAATTTCGAGTTGAGTCGCAGTTTTGCCCAAGTAGGAAGCGGTGGACGTCCCGCAGGCAATAGCGTGGTTACATGCACGTCTGGATTTTCCAGATAAATTGGATAGCTTTCTTCAAGCGTATCTTTGATGATCTGGTGGATGGAAACACGATTATATATGAATACCGCAAGGATTATTTGAAGGGGATGGCGGATATCATAGCGTCTCTGAATGAGAGGTAGGTTGTGCGGAAATGACAAGCGGTTACGTAAACATCGCCATTGTTCGAAAATGTTCGAATTGTTTCGACAACGAAATTGTGATTCGCAAACAACAAAAGAAGAATGCGAGGGAGAAGATTTTTCTGAAGAATGCATATGATTGCGAGTGTTTGCTGGTATTCGCTTGTCATTGAACATTTAATTAATTGCTTAAACAAACCGTAAAAGACTGAAATTCTTATCGAATGTGCGCGCGTGGTCACGAGAGAACTACTCATTGTTTCCCAGATTTAGTCTTCACTAGAGACCACAGGAATTGACGCCTAAAGAACACAAATGCACGGTTGACTCCCGCTGGGGGAAGGTCACAACGCATCACAACCCCTTTTCGCTGGTGATTTCTACTCCCCCATCTCCGTTGATCCAGTCTATCATTTTATCAGTAACACCAACCCTTGCGCCATGATCTGTATAGCGTTGTTCAGTCAGTTAACACGGTGCATACGATCACACTGTGTTGGATTGCTCTACCATGCAGTGCACTGCGAACGCCCCCGCTGCGCGTGGGGTGGTCTATCTCTCTCTTTCTTTCAGTACGGTCAACAACTACATGGAGTGGCATTTGATCTGGCGCTACACGGCGTTCATATCGTACGAGTACGCTCACATCGAACGCGTCTTCAACGAGCAGAAACTCAACGTGCACGAACCGAAGCCACAGTGGACGACCTGTTACGAACTCGTGGATCAGAATCTACGCGATGGCCTGGGCGCTCTCTTCATCAGAGATCACTTTTATCTGGAAAGCAAGACCGAGGTAATTTGTTTTTTAAAACGGCGACGCATGGATGAAATGATGGGGAAAATTAATGAATAAATAATTTTATGGGGGTAAATACACGCGGACGCAGAGATCGACACGAGGTGAATATGTCAAATCGAAATATAAAAACGCGTCGTCCTTTATTTTAAATGCGGGCTTCCGAGATGCACACGAAATATATACGAAACGCATTTTGTTAAAAAACGGGCTTATACATTAATTATATACACGTACACATGAATAAAAATAAAATAGTAATCAATTTATTTACTAGCTAAGTGTAACTAGTTTAATATCTTTAAGCAACAAATATACACACGAGCTAAGCAATATTTAAAACTTGATATTATATTTATTCATGAAGGTTAGCGAAATCTATGAGCGTATTCGAGGAACTTTGATCAAATATGTTGAATCTGAAACAAAGTGGATGAAGGCTGACGAAAAGAAAACAGCTCTCAATAAGGTAAGAATGGTGATGATAGAGCGGGAATTTATCATAGTTTTAACAAATATAAACCGCTTCTAAACTAAACACAGCAGTATTAAAATGTTGAGGCAATATATGGAATACTTTATTCGCTAGCTGATAAATTAAAGTAACACATTCGCTATTAAGTATTCACTCAGCCTCCTTCTTTTTCTTCCGCCCCATCTATTTTTCCTGCTGCCTTTCCCCAGTCTCTCAACACTCACTCTCTCTCTCAGCAAGCTACATTATGCAGTTGCCTTCAGTCCGTGCTGCACGCCTGAAACGGTGCTCGCGCATGCGTAATACCTCCCGAGAATATTAATATTTTGCAAAAATTATGCATTTAAAATAGAAAGGAGGTATTCTAGCAAAGATTTATGTGATAAAATTTTATCATTAGACCGCATTTAAGAAATAGAACGAAGACCTTGCATGTAAGGTACCCGTTGCATATACAAGCCAGTGCATAATCTGGCTACGTTATTGTGTTAGCGCATGCGCAATATCTCACTAGGAGTGTTATATTTTGTGATGATTATAAATTTAATATGGTCATGGGGTATCTCAGCATCGATTTCTGTGATTAATTGTTATCAGTAGACATGAATTCGTAATTGGGATAGCACCCTAGCCAATAGGGTGTAAAATCCCAACTTCGTCTGCTCCCGCCCGTCCCCTTGCCTCCATTGTCTTTCGCTCAGCTTCCTTCTTTTTCTCCCGCCCCAGCTATCTTCCCTGCTGCCTTTCCCCAGTCTCCCAACACTCACTCCCTCTTTCAGCAAGCTATATTATGCAGTTGCCTTCAGTCCGTGCTGCTCGCCTGAAACGATTCTCGCGCATGCGCAATATCCCCCAAGAATATTAATCTTTTCCGAAAATTATGCATTTAAAATAGAGAGAACGTATCCTTGCATAGTTCTATATGATAAAATTTCATCAGTAGTCCTCAGTTAAGAAATAGGAGGAAGACTTTGCATGTAAGGTACCCGCTGCATGTACAAGCCAGTGCATAATCTGGCTACGTTAGTGTGTTAGCGCATGCGCAATATCTCACTAGAAGAGTTATATTTTGTGATGATTATAAGTTTAATATGGTCATGGGGTATCTCAGCATCGATTTCTGTAATTAATTGTTATCAGTAGACCTGAATTCGTAATTGGGATAGCACCCTAGCCAATAGGGTGTAAAATCCCAACTTCGTCCGCTCCCGCCCGTCCCCTTGCCTCCATTGTCTTTCGCTCAGCCTCCTTCTTTTTCTCCCGCCCCAGCTATCTTTCCTGCTGCCTTTCCTCAGTCTCCCAACACTCACTCCCTTTCTCAGCAAGCTATGTGCGTGCGTGCGTGCGTGCGTGCGTGCGTGCGTGCGTGCGTGCGTGCGTGCGTGCGTGCGTGCGTGCGAGCGAGCGTATTACATAACATGAATTATGGCAACGACAATGCATCAGTGTTCACACGTGTTTGCACGTTGAATGCCAGCGTGGGCCGCATGTAGAATCGCGTGCAATATCATTTTCTGTGATATCAACCGAGTAAACTCTGCCCACGTCTTTGTATAGCTGACGGCACTAACAACGAAGCTTGGGTTTACTGCCTTCTACATTGACAACAGCAAGATGGACGCCTTTTACGACAGTGTAAGAATGACGCATTTTCTGTTTTGATTCAATGCCAGCGATTATTATATGTATGTAGTCGTAGATCAGCCGTGGTTTAAACGCACGATTGCCTTACTCATCAGACCGGCGGTTTCGATATGCGTCCTCTTATTTCCTTACGAGTACTACACACTACCAGGGGCGTAATTCCTTCCTACAGTTGAAAGTAGTTCATAACGCCATCTTGGACAACGTCATCAGTCTTGACAAATGGCTTCGGGAGGAGACGAAAGATTTATATCAATATGGCGAGCAGACGGACCAGTGGCTCGGGCATTTATACCACGTCTATGGCATGTATATAGCGATGTGGAACCAGGTGATTCATTGAATAATCATCGTATAGTTGAAATGAAGTTTTGTGCTATTAGTAGGCGCTTAGACCCGTCTCTGTTTCCATACGGCCAATGCTCAGTATGCATTCATGCATGTGCTAATTACTTCACGGGTTTGCAGTTCTATTGCATTTTGTCATTTGTCGACGTTAATAGAGGTCTTGGAGTATTCGATGACATCTTATATCCTCCGTGTAACATCTCACATTGGCAGCTGGAGGTCACCGCAGGTTTGATGCAGCATCCCTATTACGACAAGCTGCTTCCACCGTACGTCAACTACGGCTCTATCGGATCGCTATTGGCGACACACACCATTCAGGCTATCGATGAAACCGGTATACCCATTTAATCGCATTAGTTCGTATTAGATTGAAGCTAACGAGTAAGGGCAGCGTCTATGCTAGGTCTATGCTAGGTAGCAACGATGCACGCTAATCATTGGTATTCATTGCTCGAAAAAAACTGAAGCCAGACAATCACGCGAAGCCTTTATTGAGTTACGGGACCGTATAGTCGCATGTTGGATGATCTGTGTTAGTGTGGATACGCACAAGAGCTTACAGCGCACTCTACGGGAATCTTAACGAAGGCTTTTACTTTTTACGACGGTTTCGAAAACTGCTGGGCTCGTTAGCCTTTAACCCAATTCGATAAATTTCTCACCAATCAGACGCGCCAGACACGTCGAACAACAGGCAGTTATATTCAACTCGTTCCTCTCGATATTTTTCTACGTATAAACCGAACATGTACACATTCGGGCAGCAGGTGGCGCTGCATGCTGGGCTATAAGTCCCCAATGAGGGAACGCCGTTCCTTAGATTCTGTTTGATTGATTCCGTTTTTATTCATGTTGTTATTACCAAGTTATTCGTCCCGTCTACCGGTGGCGCGCCTATAACTGCGCCGTATAAACTCAAAGTGTTAGCAGCTACCTGCATACAACGGCCACCTGCCTAGTAAGGCCATGTTTGGCGTTTCTTTCGAGTGGGGGTATACAGTGAAACGACGTCGATAGAATAGCCATCTGAACATGAAGGCCGATTTCGGGGGTTTTCCCTCGAGTTGGCCGCTATCCACAGGTTTACGTGTGCACTATACAGCAGTATAGTATGTCTGTCAATAGCACGTCTGGCTGCGCGATATCTACGTGTGTGTGTGTCGACAGGGAGTAAGTGGCAGGCGGATGGATCTATGAAGGATTGGTGGTCGGAGGATACACGCACTGCCTACCTCGCGCGGGAGAAATGCGTCTCCGATCGGTTCATTAACGCCACGTTCAACATACCTCCCTACGGAGACGTGGCAGTGCGGCCGGCCCCCTGGATAATCAACGAAATCATTGCCTTCATGGAAGGAGTGCGAATTACCTACAAGGTATTGCGGTGGGTGGTGGGAATATATCCCTTAGGCGACCATAAATACGGCGTTCATAAATCCACATGACGTAGACGTTGTCAAACATATATAGGAACAATATGTGGGAAAGGAAAGAAAGTTTTCGGTTCAAATCCCGTTCATTCCTTACAAATTACGTAAGAAAAAATATTCGTTCCGTATCGCGAATAAAGTCATCCTCATAAGTTACAAGTTACGTATAAGCCAATTTACGTAACCCGAGTTATCGTGCCGCGGGGTATTACTGCATGTAAAATGTATTGACCAACTAGAAATCAATTACGTAGAATCGATACACCGTCCATAACTTAAACATTGGGGTACCGACGCCATATTGCCCCGATACCAAACGTACCGTGGAGGCCGTTTTCTCACGGCTTTGAAAAAAACATAACTACTATACGTACATCGCATGTCATGCTAAACATGGTTCTCTTTTTAGCGGATGCATATATGCTACGATACCACCTCTTATTTATTTGCAGACATTTACCGACTATCCTGAGATAGGCGACCTGTATAGATTGCCCGGCATTAATCTATCTAACGATCAGGTTGTATTCCTTTCATACGCACAGGTAAATGTTTATTTGATAATTGGAATGAGTGTCGCGTTAGATCAATAGTTACTACGGTCCTATAGTGTTAATAATCTTCCTCACATAGTCGCCATTACATCATGGTATTGTGTTACGTCACGTAGTACTCACATGGTTATTTTAATACAGCATGGTTGGCGTGCGCAGTTAAAGTTTACTATACTGATCGGAAATTAAATATGCATGTCGTTAATTTGTTTCAAGCGACGTTTCGTGCTTTGTGTGTTTCAAACGACATTTCGTGCTTTGTGTGTTTCAAACGACGTTTCGTGCTTTGTGTGTTTCAAACGACGTTTCGTGCTGTGGTTTCAGACGATGTGCAGTCACAGAGATCCCCACGACCTGTACTTTAGCTTGTTCCGAGGAGCAATGCCTGACGCCATGTTGTAAGTTCTACAGCAATGCAAACATAAGTCACGTACCAAATAATAAATAAAAAATACTAAATATAACTAAAACATATATAAATATATATATAAATATATAAATATAAATATAACTTTTTCTTCCACTAAATATACGCAACGTTGTCAGATTCCTAACCGGCGGAGAGGGGTTGGAGATTTTGGTAAAAATGCCAAACAATGCTAATATATGCAATAAACAGTAGAACAAATTCATCACTTCAGACATGTTATCCTACACGCGATTTATTCCTTGAATCAAAAAAGCCTTTTCTCGCGAGTCCTAGCTTGCTTAGGGCATGATATTTCCGTCACTTTATTACCACCTTTTATTATCTTAATTAGCTTGCATAAATATGCTAGCGAAATTTCTATCGCTAGTTTTACCATGTGTGCGTATGTGTGTGTTTGCGTGTGTGTGTGTGTGTGTGTGTGTGTGTGTGTGTGTGTGTGTGTGTGTGCGCGCGCGCGTGTGTGTATATGTGTGTGCGGGCGTGTGCGTGTGTGTGTGTGTTGGCTGGTGGGTATGTTGTGCCTAGCGTTTACGTGCTAAGTTTAGACTAGTATTTAATATCTAGAATTATAAATAACAATAATATCCGAGTTTTCAATGATTCGTCGGCGTCCAGGAACGGAGATTAACTGTGAATTATTGCTTGTTGTGTTCTTGCAGCGTGGACAACGTTCTGATGCAGGTTTCCGAGTTCTCGCGTGCGTTCAACTGTCCGGTCGGATCCACGATGAATCCTAAAAACAAATGTAGAGTCATCACTTAAGAAATCGTTCAAATTGCGTCTGTTTGGTAATGTAATTTGGTAATGTAAATGTAATTTGGTAATGTAATCATTATGTTATCAAAAGTAAACAAAATCAAGCTATAATCGTTTAATACAATGTGATATGATGAGGAGATAAATTGTTGTTGACATAAAAAGTGGGACTTTTAGATAAGCGCTTTCGCAATAGACCGGTTTGCAATCAAAACGTTTAAATGTGTGAGAAATTTAACTAGGACCATTAGCCCGTTTGTTCGACAGATATCGTATGTGTTAATACATCTCGAATAGACAAACACGCAGTATATAATTAATACCGTAATTTTACAGTTTTTATAGTTTATTTCAATTTGCAGTTTGTGCACAACAGATGTATTTGTTTGAAATTCGAATTTATGTGATTTGCACATTTGAAAGCCGAATAATACTTGAAATAATGATTGTCATAGTTACTATAATTCAGTGATTAATGTAGTTTATAATGTCAGTAATTGATAGTAATAAAGTGAACCATTTTTAATATTATTATCATGCACAGTTACAAGTATATTTGTGCATTGCACTTTTATATCACTATATAAATAGAAAAATAACATATATGATAATAAAAAACTAAAACTAAATTTATTGAGATTACGAATATTCTGTGACATAATCAAAAAGGTAAGAAAATGGCTCACAACGAAATATGAACGAATTCGTAACTAAATATATAACGTAAGTGTTATTACGTTACTCGTAACTCATTACATTGCCTTTCACACGTTTTAATAATATTTGAGTTCGAATGCCAATGCTAGCTTTTGCTAAATTTACAAAAGATTTACTTTGACCATTGTTGGTATTAGTATCTGTCTAATTCAAGCAATTATATGCGTTATCAGCACATAATTCACTTGGTTCCTTGCCATCAGAGGGCGCTCAGAACTATATGCAGTGTTTTCGCATAGTGTATCTACACAGCGATGACGCTGCACGATATATAATATATATTTTAATGAGATTATTTTCTCATAGTAATGTCATGCAAAATAAAATGTCAAGCCTATTTCGGGTAGAAAACTTCAATACTTTACAAATTAAACCGATGTACCTGTGTCATACAGCGCTTGATATTTGAGTATGAATGCATATTCTCGTGAAAATGTGCCTGAAATTGTACTATTATCAAAATAATCTATTGTAAGCGTTATTTTTATTTAGCATTTTGTAAACAAACATTGAACATACATTCACAAACTTTAACATGTTTATCTTCATGTAAGTATGGTTCATTTTCATGATTTCATCCTCTCTCCTCGTGAAAACTAGGCACAACATACCCACCAGCCAACACGCGCACGCACACGCACGCACACATATGTACACACGCACGCACGCATACACACATACACACGCACGCACACACACACACACACACACACACACATACGCACACGCACACGCACATGCACACGCACACGCACACGCACACGCACGCGCACGCGCACACGCACACGCACACGCACGCACGCACCGACACACACACACGACACACACACACACACACACACACACACACACACACACACACACACACACACACACACGCACCTAGACTGCTCCGACACACATCTATCGCTACCGCTCGCGCTTGTGCCGGCTCCATCCATCCACAAAGCCTCGCGGTGCGCTGCAGTGTTAGGGTTACTCTGCTAGAGGTGCCATCATGGCTGTCGACGGGTGATGGATCACTCTGCGCGCCGCCCATTAACGCGCGCGACGTCCTCACCGCATCGGGTACGACCCGGTGTGTGTGTGATTTGTCGAGATCATATAAAACCTGCTGAGAGGCGAACCTGCCGGCTTTGCAGCGCCGAGTCAGAAGCTGTTGCTTCATGCTTCATACTCTGCGCGGATACGGCGGGTGGTGGCCATCTAGATCGCGTATGCGCGGTGTGCGTTCGTGACGTCACGCCAACTCATCTGCGATAGCTAAGCAGCGCGGAAAAGATGACGACGGAGTGTAAATCTTATATTCTCTGAGAGTCAGTGAGTAGATAGGGCATTGGTAGGTTCGTAGAGCCACGTGCTGGGGCGCCACAAGCGGCAGCTGTCGGAACTAGTCCGTTTCGATGTCACGCGTTTACGGTGTCGTTACATTATGTATCTCGTCCAATTCTATAATTTGTATTGATGACGACATACGCTGTCACGAAAGTATTTCGAGATTAGTGGCTGATATTTTTCAGTTGTTTCCTCAGAAATATTATTATTTCTCTAATTTTTAAATATTAATATTATATTGAAATTTTGCCGCCACGAAATCTACTAAATTATGGGATTATTATATACTCATTATATATAGGGACGTAGCCTGTAGCCCAGGGCCGTAGCCTGCGAGGGGGGGGGGCAAAGGGGCAGCTGCCCCCCTTAGATTTTGGAGCAAAATTAAAAAAACAAATTATTCTACTAAAAGAGAATTGTCGTAGTCAGAATGAAGGCTGTACATGTACTCAAAAGTGCCTCAAATACCATCTCTTGCGATCTACATTTTCAAATTTTCTGTGGGAGGACCTAGACCTCCCACCTGTTTCTCACACCCTCCTTGAAATCCTGGATCCGCCACTGCCCCTCTAGGAATTTGCTCAGCCTACGGCCCTGAATAATAACAGTATGTGAATATTTTCTACGGTCTACGAAAATTTAATGTGATATGACCAAAATATAATATATCTTGCATCATTCGAATGTCGAGAGTATTATCAGTTGTGCAAATATAGGGGCCTACTCTTGGTATTATTATGCAAGTTAAAAAAATAATAAACTGGGATATGATGATAATGAACGCTGTATTAATGTAGCTTGCTTAAATATGCTAGCGAAATTTCGATTGTTAATTTTATAATGCAGTTTTTGCTTGATTTAAATTCATTCCATATTTTTCTTCCACCGACGGTGTCAGCTTGACTCCGATTATACACGTAGATAAGCGTCCTATTCTCCCTATATATAGCAGCATATATATATATATAAATATATATACACATAAATATATAGAAAAATATAATTATAAATAGAATGAGGTGTCATCTTTTATTTTGTGAGCTTTCGAGAACGTCAGCCCGTTCATCAGGCTTCACAACAACAACCAGCTTGTTTTTTTTTAAATTCTGCATGGGTGTACGTGTGTTTTTACTTCTATATAATATATATATATATGTGTGTGTGTGTGTGTGTGGTGGGGTGGGGGTGGTCGTGTGTGTGTGTGTGTGTGTGTGTGTGTGTGTGTGTGTGTGTG